TGAAGTCAAGATCTACAACTTAGCAAATAAAATATTTGATCAAATGTATTAAACTATTGTGAAAACCATTGAACACCAAAAAGGACGTCAAAAGTAACTAAAAGTAAATATGCCACCCCTATTTTAATCTCAGAAACAAAGATATAATTTTGTTACTGATCAAAGTTGTTTATATAGAAGTTTCAATGTTTTACTCGATATTCGATATGTGAGAAAATATTCTAGAAAGCTGAATGGATGACTTTCATCTTTTCATATTCGAAAGGTTCTTGAATGCTAAAATAAGACAGTTAATTGTTTCCGAAGATGTCGAATGAAATAAAAAACAAATTCCATTTTTTTTAATATTTGGTTATGTTTAACATTTAATATCGAGTATTGTCAGTATCGCGAAAGGAAGATGCATAACTTTGATTCTTCTTGCATGTTTCTTTCTCTGATCAAGGTCTATTTATACTGATAATGTGAGAACGTAACCCATGTGATATTACTCTCATAGAAGAAAAGGCCATGGTCTTCCGTTATAGAAATTCCCATAATTCCTCCCAAGAGAGTCTTCTATTCTGAGCTAGATTTTGCTAACACTCAGCTAGAAAAACTTGAATTCGCTAAGAAAACTACCTGTTTACTGGAAAAAATAGTCATTTTGATTGAAAAAAAAAGAGTTATATTTTACTCAGAATCCGAGTTTTTAGGAATTAAAATTCGCTGGATTTTCGCAAAACTAATGGCCTTCTAATATAAGAAAGCCTTTGATTCTGAAGAAGTTTAGCTGATTAGATTCTCTTTTAGAGCTTTTAACGAGTAATCAGAAAAATCTTTATCTATATATAAGCTTGTATATCAGAAGCTATCTTACACAATGACAACAACCGTTGTATATTGAAAAGAGCTCTTTAAAATGTTTGGATAAAAACCTACAGCTTGATTCAGTTTTACATTTTGTAAAGAAGTGTCCAATATCTCCGACAATTTCTAGCATATTCAAAAAGAAACTTCTAGAGTAAGCAAAAACCTGTTTATTCACTATAAAAAATAAATTTTCAAATCTTTCAAAAAAGTCTCTCACTAATCTTGAATAAAAACTGAGACAAAGTGTCTACCAAGAGAGCGATTCAAAGTGATACCTCGCGTTTGAATTGAGATCTCCAATGGTTACGTAGCATGTGTTGAGATTAGAAGAAACTTAGAAGAATTCTTCCTCATGCACTACCTTTTTGGAGTTAATTTGTCCATAGACAATTCTTGAAGTCATTAGAATTTCCTAAAAACTTCAGTCAAAAAGAGTGATCTTTTCTCGACGTATCGAATCCACAAAAAAAAACCATGGCATTCTAGAAAAGGATGGTAAATCTATTTTTTTTTTTTTGGGTGGTTCGATATCTCGAGAAAAGACCATTTATTGTGGCTGAAACTATTAGAAGATTCTAATGACTTCAAGATCTGCCTATAGGCAAAGTTTTAGGTCAAAATTCGTTAGTTTGAAAAAGTTAGTTAATTCAACGGTCCCACCCCAAAAATGGTAGCACATAGAGAAGTTTTCCCTCAAGATTTCTTCTAATTTCAAATGGTGCTCCGTAACGACAGGAATCTCATCTCAACTGCAAGGTATCCCTCGACTGGTTCCTTCGTAAGCTCATGTTCAAAAAGAGCACAAACTCATAGCTTTTGACTGGTCGAAAAATTTTCCAATCACCTGTTACTACAAATGAATAATGATTTTTCAAACTATAACATAACTTGGTAAGTACGAATTTTCTCGAGTACGTAGTTGTACATGTTCAATCCTGGGTTCTAAAGTCTCATATATGACAATAAACACTTTTTGCATCGAATTTTCCAAAACTTCATTTAAAAACAATGCATAAAATCTGAATATCTTCTATAATTAGTTTGACTTTCATTGTGTAAATGAACTCACTTTATAATCAGCATGAATAATTAAATGTTTACGTAAATCATCATTACATCTAAATGTTGCTTGACATCTATCACAAACATATGGTCGTTCATCAAGATGACCACGAATATGAACTTCAAGTTTACATGGTGCAATAAATGTCTTCTTACAATATGGACATGCATACGGACTAATACCCAAATGTCGTTGAATATGATGTCGTAAATTTCCCCATTGTGAAAATCTTGAACCACAAAAATCACATGAAAATGGTTTATCTATTATAAAATAAATAAAAAATTTTATATTTAATAATTAAATTTCAAAAACACAAAAAACAAACCTCTTGTGTGTACACGTTGATGTTTTCTTAGAGCATATGCAGATGAAAATGTTGCTTTACATTTTTCACATATTAATGACGATACTTTTCGTTCTGGTTTATATGTTTCTAAACGAAGTTTTTGTCCATGTTGATTAACATGTCTTTGTAAACGTTCCATTGATACAGTTATTAAACCACATATCGGACAAGTAAAACGAGTAGATTTTGGTCCACGTACACGTGGCATATCATCAAAATTTATACTTGATGTTGAAGAATTTCTTAAAAGTTTATTAGGATTATTATTTGCTAAACGTAAAAGATCATCGTTAGTTGTACGTTCAAGTTGCACAACTGAATTTTTAACCAGTGAATAAGCAAGAACCCAATCATTTGGATTTGTCATGTCAAAATGTGTTGGTATCGATGATTGAATTGAAAGATCTAAAAGACTTAAAATGAATATTGACAAATCCATGCAAAAAAAAACGAAATTTTTACCTTGAGATATATTTGGTAAACAATCAAGCTCGGAAGTAAGTGTCTCAATAGGTGAATAACTGGGTAAAATATCAGACGAAACAAACGTTGATGACGAATTTGAATTAAATTCATTTTTTAAACTTAATAAAAATGTTTCGTCAATATTCGATAACATTTTGTTAATAATCTACAATGCACATAGAAATCAATTAGATCATTTATCATTAGTTCATGGCTATAAACGACCGAACAAACAGCTGTTCTGTTATTTTCTAGTCTGATTTTGTTTTCATTGGATGAATATCTATACCCAGCCAAATTCTTCTGAAGTCGCTTTTCGATAGATGCCATACTGACCGATGACTTTTTAAGATATTCGATTTCGATTTATTAGCATAAAATATTTATAATAATGATTGTTTTATTTTCGAAAAGAAATTACTTCTATGATCACTTTTAACTCTTTGACGCCCGATTGTTTTTGCGAAAATACAGTTTTTTATAAAAAAAATCTTTAAATATGGTATCTCTTTATTTTTTGAAAGACATTGTATTTCTGTGTCAAGGAAACATGAGTGATTCATTTTCGTATGATAGTATTCAAAACAATCAACAATACATAGAGGTACATTGCTGTCAAGGTATATATCTTGTATCATGTCGAAAACTATGAGATATACAAACGATGAATTTTCTTTGAGACTGTTTTGATTGCGACGTTTGTGGAGCGAGAGAAGAAAAATGTTGAGGTGTTAGACAAAGATAAAATTCCTTGTCTACGGTCTTCCAATAGTAGTTGGTCTGTGTAATCCGTACTTTGTGACTTATACTACCCATATGTAGAACGACGAAAGAGAATGTATGATGATTATAGTGACTATAAATTTCTAGGATGATTTAAAGACCCTAGTTCGTAATCTAACAGACAAAACGTTTTTCCAAATAATCAAAGAATAAGTTAGTGATATGTTTGTTCAATAACATCATCTATACGTATTTATATATTGTCGATATTCTAAGCCAAATAGTAGGACATATATACCCAGACGAGCAAAAGAGCGAGTAAAAGGGCTAGTCTTTCCTCTAGTTGTGACGGTATGTCATGTCTAGTCTTTTTGTCAAAAAGTCCTCGCATGTGACTAGTCCAAAATTATTTGTAGGTCACAACTCACATCCTGACTACTTAATTGACGGTCGTCATTCGCTTTGTTATGTCTCGTCTTTTTGAGAAAAAGACTAGCCATGTAATACCGTCTTGAAGTCCGTCCATAAGGAATTTTAAATAAAAACAAAGAGCGTCTACGACGATGCAAAATGATAAGTTGTAGTATTATGAAGTGATCGAGTTCGAAATAGTCTAAATGATAGAAGTATAAAGAAGAAGGTTAGATTCTATCGTGCACACAATATGTCACTTACCTAGCGCCTTGTCGATTGAACTATACGATCAAGTAATCAACTTTTATATGTCGATAAACATTCTAAAATACTATTCAATACAAATTGACTCGAGATTTTTCAGGTTTCACTAAGAATAAAAATTTATATCATTGAATACCGAAATAGTTGTATAAAATGGAATAGAACTAATCTATGCTTTTTTTTTATTTTTTTCAAAATTTTCTTTCTTATCTCTAACGTCTAGGAAAACTATTTTCTATTGAAAAAGAAGCTAAACACGCCAATAAATAAAAAATGATCTAAAATTAAAAAAAATAATTTTCTTTATATGACGAGTGAAGTTTATTTTAATTTTAAATTTTCTAATTTAAACTGAAAAATTGATTGAAATTATTTAATTTACTGATTCTTCAATTTAAATCGCCAGAATCCGTATTAAAATTACAATGAAATTCTAGCATCCAGCTATTGAAAATACTTTTAAACTAAATTATTTCTAATTAATTTTACAGCGTAATAAATTTTAAAGAGCATTACTAGGCGATTTTCGTCGACAAGTTAATCAGAATAATTTGTATCTTCATATACGTCTTGACGCTACGATATAATTTCGCACTTATAATAGAAAAACTACAAGTTTTTACTTTCAGCAGATGTGCTTGATGAACTCTGCTATGAAGTAAAGAAAATTGCAAATTTATACACCTAATACGATGAAATTTATAAAAAAAATGAATTGATTAAAAATGTTGAAAACATTTCAGACTAATCAAGTCCATTTTTTTCAGTTAAGTTCAATTACATGTCAAATGAGTGAGAACCAATCTGTTATTTAGACCGCTTTGACCGACACCTACCCGTCGCTAAATCGTAGATTGCCGTCAGAAGGCACGTCCAATATCGAATACTATCGGGTAAAATATTCGAATCTCCACTTCATCTCATTTTTTGTTCTTGTTTTTCTGTTCTCCTGACTAGTCTCAACGGGTATGAACCGACTAGACATGACGGATACAACGACGTTTCGTACTAGTCCAAACATAGTTAAAGAACATTTTCCGTAAAGGTGACTGATCCTAACAGATACACAGAAAGTCTCAGACTAAACCTGACAGGTAGTATGGACATTTTAGACTAGTTTTGGACGACGTCATTACTCATTTTTTGTTTACCTGAGTATATGTTGGCGGGCGCCAAGGGGTCAAACAAATGTTGACATGTAATTTTTTCTAGGTTAGAGAATGTATATCTGATTAAGTAAAGATTAGAATATGTTGCAAAGATTTAAGAAAATAAAGAACAACTAATTCTCAGCATTGATTTCATAGTTAATGATAGTATTTAGTATTCTAACTGGACTTATATGAATATTAAATTTTATTAGTATTATTATGGTTGACATATCAACAAAGAAAATGAGGCTTATTCAGATTTCCGAAATTACTAACAGATGAAAAAATTATTTCAAGCAAATTTCGATAATTACAAATTCATGAGAAAGCATTTTCTGAGAAGCTACGGAAATTACTAAAGCATTAAGAAAAGTTCTAGGTTGAATGCTAAATTTCAGAAATTACAGAGAAATTCCAATATTTATTTGCTATTTTAAGAAACTGCTGAAATTTCTAAATAATTACTAAGGATAAATATATTATGCTATTTAATTAGAAATTTCGCAGACTCGTACCTTCAAGTTGCATGAGTCTGCAGAAAATACCGAGAAATTATCGAAAATTTGTATAGTTTTATGAATTGACTTCTATATTTCTACAGACTTATAACTTTATTCATCTGCATAGATGCACAAGAAATTTTCGTAAATATTGTAATTTCCTGGTAATGATTGAAATGAACAGAAATTCTTTTGTTTTTTTAGAGCGTCTTACTGAACGTTTTATGGTTTCTAAACGTTTTTAAATTTTAGTCAAAATCTCTGGAACCTAAAAAGGTTTCAAAAAATAGTACCAAAATTGAAAATTCTAAAAGGTTCCTATGGCGCCCTTCTTTTTGGAAAGTATCGATTTTCAGTTCCATATCCTGATGATTTCGAGAAATATTGAATTAACAAGGATCAAAAATAATTCTTTTCGCAATCTAAAATTCTCTGTGGGCCATTATTCTATAGACTTAATTCGTTTTTGTTTGAACGAAGATGTCAAGATACAAGGCATTAGCAGAGCTGGGTTACTTTTATTTTCATTTTTCAAGGACAGGAAATTTCGATCTCTCAAAA